CATATATATGTCATTGACAGTAAATAAAAATGTGTCATAAGACTAAGTAGCATCAAATAAAATCAAATACTTTTATGAACATCAGTAATTAGAAGACAAAGAAGCTTTGGTGAAAGGAAACAAATCAAGTGTTTGGAAGCTTGGTTCAGATTCCCTTAGGCGAAATTCTGCTTCTCTTTGAACTTCAGTTTTCTATTTTGTTTCTTATTTTAATGTATGCTCATGATTTTAAATAGTAAATGTTCACAGCAAAAAAAAAAAAAAGTAAAACTAGCATTGGCCCAAATCAAGGCAATTCCATCTAAATATATCCACATTGCTTCTTAAAAGCAGCCAATCTCTAAATGTTCCAATCTGCCCAAAGACATGCCAAATCCCAGCTATCTACAGAGCCAAATTCACATCCTTAGGAGCACAGGATGTACTGGTCTCCACCTCTGTTTTCTCCTTCTCTCTTTCTTTTTAAGATTTATTTATTTTTATTGGAAAGTCAGATTTACAGTGCAGGAAATGGAGACAGACCTTTCATCTGCTGATTCAATTCCCAAGTGGTCTCAATGGCTGGAGCTGAGCCTAGTCAAAACCAGGAGCCAGGAACTTCTTTTGGGTCTCCCACCCGGGTACAGGATTCCAAGAATTTGGGATATTCTTTACTGTTTTCCTAGGTCACAAACAGGGAGTTGGGTGGGAAATGGGGCAGCCAGGACATGAACCAGCATTTACATGGGATCCCTGAGTGTGCAAGACAAGGATTCAGCCCAAGACATTGTGCGAGGCCCTGTCGTCTGTCTCTGTTCGTGGTATTCGTTTCTTTCTCTTTCCTTCAAGCAGTTGTAGTTGTTGGTTTCTTGGATCGAAGATTTCCTTTTCCTTCATTTTCAGCCTAGAATTTCCTTTCCTTCTTAGACAACCTTTTTAAATCTTGCTGCAACACAATGCTCAGGATTCAGACCTCAAGGAAACCATCTGACCATTTTCCTTCTTTTGTCTATTGTATTTTATTATGGATTTATTAAAATATTTATCATATTTCAGATAGAGCAGTTTTCCTTATGAGGCTTTTACCTCTTTGGATTTAAAAAATATTGCTGTTTATTCGTTGTTGTTTGGAATATATTTCAGTCCTTCTGCTCACATCCACCCATTTTCAGCATTTTGAAACTTATGGCTATTTTTTGCATCTAGCCAGGATCTAGGAAGTCTTTGCTAAACTTTCTGTCTGAAAAAAGCTGTAATGTACTTTTTGAGACTACTCACTCTCAGTAGATAAGATTGACAATTTTAATGTAGCTGTTCATTCAAAATTTTTTTTCCTTTAAGTACTGGCTTTTCTTCATATAGATCAAACAATATCTTGTGGATAAAAATTTCTGCACAAATGCAATCAATTCCAGTTCTACTTAAATGATTCCTTTGACTTATTATTATTTCACAAGATCTTGCCAAATATTTACATGCCATGTATCTGATGTCTGGTCTGTTATAATTACTGTTTATGGGTTTTAGACTTAAAATTTCCATTTTATTGTATAAAATTAAAATGTGCAATATAACATTCATATATGCATATGAGGATGATGCAAAAATTTATGGAAAACAGATTTAAGAGATAATGCATGGGACAAACCCTTCACCTACTGGTACTACACTTGATCTTAGCCAAGAGGCCGAGAAGCGATCCTTCACCTACTGGTGATGGTGATAACTAAGATATCTGCTTCATGCATTTGATGCCTGACTCCAGTTTCCTAGACTTCAGTTCCTGGGAGAAAACAGTGATAGCTCAAGTAGTTGAGTACCTGCTCTCATGTGGGAGGAAATGAATTTCATTCCTAGCTCTTGGTTTGCATTCTGCCCAGTCCTGGCTGCTTAGCCATTGTGGAGTGAATTAGTGGTTGGGAGCTGTTATTTTCAGAAAAGACAATGAGCATCTCCATGAATTTCCTGAAGTAACCTTATGTAGATAAAAGATTAGTAAATTTGCTGGTTTCCTTACAGCTGTGTTTTTTCTTGTGTATAAGAACATCTTAAATGTATTATCAGCATATTCATAATGAAGCAATAGTGTATCATTGGTTATTATTTTCATGCTATACTCAAGATCGCCAAACTTCATTGTTTTCTATAACAGGGACTTTGCATCTTTTGTGTATATCTTCCCAACCTCCACCCTCTAACCTGTAGTCAATCTGTCCTTGACTTTCATATATTTCACATATATCTACAGTTCACATTCAAGGCATATTATGCTATAATTCTTTCTCCTGATTCGGCTTATTTCATTTAGAGATTTTTAAATGCAAAACTATTTTTCTCAATTTCAGTTAAGTTCTCTGTTTCCACTTCACTTAGAAAATTAAGGTAGTCTTGTAGCTCCTTATATCTTATTTTTTAATTCACCTTCTTGTCTTTGGAAAATTGATGCATTTTGTATGGCTCTTATTCTTTTAACTGAGAGCCTGGTAATAGAGAAACTTACTCCATCAATTAACTACTACTTTTTCAGTCTATTTCTTTGTTTCTCTGTTGTCATTCTTCAAGTAACAAATCTTCCCTATACTAAAAGAAAAATCCTTCCTATGACTCTAATTGTCCCTATATAGTCACCGTCTTATAAATCTGTTTATTCTTCTAAAAGTCTCAGAAGAGCAGTAGATATGTTGCTTTTAATTAAGTGCAAATTACTTGGTTGTTAACCATGTGGAGTATATTTCAGTGGTTATAGTGGTAATGACTTGCTTTATCTAAAAATCTATTTCTATCTGCTCCATGTGGAAGTGTGCCCCTTGAGCCAGTCCATTGGATGCTGGAGGACCCCAGAACTCATACACTTTCAGCAGACTGAGAGTGCTAGCAGGAAGCAGATTTCCTGGCTGGAACTGTGGCTACCTGGCTGGCCAAGCATGGCAGGGGCGAGCGGAGCCTCCCTGTGCCTATTTTCTCATTAGTTGCTTGAAGCTGAGCATATCCCCCTCCTCAGTAATTGGTTTGACCATCAGAATCTGTTCCTGAAAAACATGTTTACTCCTTTGACACTATGGCGATTGTTACTTCATTTTCTTGTTTGCTATCTTTAGAGGGGTTTGTGTGGTTGCCTAGGTCATCTGTCAGTTCAATAATGTGTGCATTGTTTCAATTGCCTTGCATCCTTGTGTCCTGATCTTTCTCAGTGTGGTTGTCACACCTAGGGTCCCAGTCTCCTCAGGGGGATCATCCACACTCCACACCTTTGTAGCATTTTCTTTCTTTATCTCTCGTGCTTCTTGCTTTGTGTATTTCATGAAATTACGCATTTGGGCCCAATTTCTTTTCTCATTTGCCACTTTTTTGGAACCTTGTCCTTTAGTGGTGGGGAATTATCTCTAAAATTGGACTGGTGACTTCTCCCTTGAGCATGACATCTGAACACCTCCAATATTATCCCAGCAGCATTATCTCCAGCTCCTATTTCTTATTGGAACAATGTGGCATTGTCATAACTGTCCGGGTTATGACGTGGTTACATTTTGAATTACTCAGGCACAGTTTAATCAATTTTTCATGTCTTTATTTAACGATTAGTTTACCTTCCACTGCCAAATATGTACAGCACCATTTCCCTGATTGAAACAAAATTACTATCTTTTTTAAACTGCGGTAGTGATATCCACAACAACTCCCTTTACTAGTTCACTTGAATTATTGTTATAAAATCCCAGAAACTGTGCAATCCAACTTATTTCAAATTTCTATTATCCTTTCCTGAGGCTGCTGGAGTGTGACACATCTTCACAGCTGAAGTTCATGGACAAAGGTCATGTTCAGACACCATCAAACTTGTGCATTGGTAACTTGGCCCGTAAATCTTCTGTATATTCGTCACCCCTAATATATTGTTTTTGCATTGTCTTTAGGCAACATACTTTATTCCTATTTAATCTTTTTCGGAGTTCAACTCATTTGTTATGGTGCCACATAAATAGCAGTACCTTAGAGACAAGATGCTATGCCCACATTCACTGTAGTTTTTCCATTCTTTTAGTCTAGCCAGAATTAAATTCTGCACATTTATGGACAGATAGACACATTTTGTAACAAAATATTAGGAGGACTCAAACATAGCCTATGGAATGTACATGTTATCAGAGAGTAACACAGGATCAGATACATGTAAGTTCTCATAATGAACAATCAATATATTTCTGAGTAGGTTACTTAAGTTTTGGTATCTCAGTTTCTTCTATCTGGGGGATAGCTGCCCTATCATGTTTTTGTTACAATTATACAAAATGCTATCTGCAAAGTTCTCAATGCCTTGGATAGAATTAACATTAAGTAAAACTAAAACAAAACATCTTAGTATCATGCCAACAGTAGAAAATGGCAATGAGCATTTGTCATATGAAAATGTCTCCAGGATACCCAGTTTGCATTTTAACTTGTAGCATTGTAGAAGAAGGCATATTCTTCTTGGTACAAAATACTGATTTGAGCTGAATGCTTTTAATTTTTCCAGATCAAGTGGTTAGGGGAGCTAAGCTGTTTGCCTCGGTGGACTCAGCTGTCACGATGAACTTGTTGCCTTGTCGGTTTCTCTTTATGGTGTAAAGCAACGTTCTAGACAGTGTGAAATCATGGCCTTCATGAATCCTTGTGTATTTCTGGTGTCCATGCAGAATTTCCCTACAATTGAGACCTCATGCCCTCACGAGGCCCTAATGAGACCTAATTGTGTACATGTTAGTATATTGCGGACTAGGCTGGAGTAGCACTCTCCTCAACAATTGTCTTTGTTACTGGACAATTGCATTTCCTGGACACATTTCCTTTATTGGCACATGAATTACTCCCTTGTCAGTGCTCCCCAGAATTTCTGGGTAAAGATAATGAGTAGAAATCATTTTCTGATCATGTGAACTTCTTGGAATTGAAACTCAAAATTCATTTTTTTAAAACCACAAAATTAGCATGTCATTAACTGCAATATATAAGTAGCTGCAAAAGCAGAGACCATCATCCACCTAAGCCTTATCTTCACTTCTTGTCTTCCACTTTGGAAGAAAGGTAAGGATATCAGGTATGAATTTAATTTACCCAATCATCTTTTATTTCAAGTTATATAGGCTTATATTAATAATATAACTGTTTAGAATATATTTTTGAAACAAAGCTATTTATGGTAGTGTTATTGGTTAAAACTTATAATAATAATAGAGGCTTCATCAGTCCCTGAAAATATAGTAATTAACCATGCATCTTATAAAAATATCTAATATCTAATATTAAGGTGATATCTCCTGAATTAAATAAGTGTTCAAACTTGATTAATTATGCTGTAAATATAGAAGATACATTTAAATTACACTTTGGTAAGATAAATAATACTGAGAAATTTTTTTCTCAACAGGTAGCCTAAAGTGGTAGCAAGTTAATCCAAGTAAGACCAGGACTAACTGAGAAATGCAATGCCTTAAATATTTGTAAATTTTTCAGGGGAAGAGCATATTCTTAAAACTTTTCTGGACTCTAATTTCCTAGTTTCATTTAGTTTATGATAGTTCAAAATAATATTACAGTAGAGACAAGGTACAGAATTAAACTATGGATATGTTCTTTCTAAGAAAATTCTGTAGGAGACAAAATTAATTTGCAAACAAAGTGTAAAGGAAATAGAGGATTTGAAGAAAAGTAGTGTAGGTATGCCTATTAATAAATTTTTGCTCAACAACAAGTGTTTAAAGTGTTATATGTAAGAGACAGAGAATGTTGTGGGATTTTTGCTACTTCAGTGGTTTATGAGCGAGTATTACACTTTTTCTGAACTTTCCACATGAAAACAGGGAGGGTATTTGACTTAGTGGCTAGAGGGCTCTTTGGGATACAGACATAGGCTTTCGATGAGTGTCTGAGTTTGAGTCCTAAGTTTCCTCCAACTTCCTGCTCATGGATACCCTGAAAGGTAATGGATGATGTATTAAGCAATTGAACACCTACCATCTGTGTGGGAGGCCTGATTCGGTTCACAGTTCCTGTCTTTGTCCCCATGCAGCCCCAGCCTTTGTAGACGTTTGGGGAGTGAATCAACAGATGGGAATTCTCTAACTCTATGCTGCTCTGCTTTTTAGATAAAAATTAAATTAAATTAAAATATATAAGAAGAAAATCTCAGAGGCTTTTTAGTATATCTTGGTCAAGGGTGTTAATGTATATTTTGTAAGAGATAGCTTGGCGTAAGAGAGTGAGCAAGACTAACTGGCCTTTTTTAAACCATCAAGGAATCAGTGCGCATTTTGATAGCAAGAGAAGCAGCTTAAGGAGCTATCATTAAAGTCATGTGGCATGATTATGTGTGTGTAGCTGAATATTGCAGAGTGGGAATAAATGAAGAAGACAAAATTATCTGGAGAATTAAACAAGGAAACAGCAAATGAAAATCTCACATTAAATGAGCAGATATGATTTGATCAAATATTCTTGCTAACTGGTAGAAAAATATCAAAGTAAAAGGTCAATTATAATTGAATATCTTTGTTGATATTCAATTTAACTAAATATCTGCCTATAATGGAACTGAGTTTCCTCCAGAGCTAAAATCTTGGTAGTTTGCTCATCGCTATAGTATCAGTATATAGGCAGTATCAGACAATGAAAGATGCTAAATAATATTTTTTGAGTGAGCGAATCGGTGAATCTATAAATGTTCATAACTTTCTTATATCTTTGAAAAATTATGACATATACTTAAGTGAGAAAAACAGGAACAGGGGAGAGCTATTAGCTAAGAATCTGAATGGCGCCCAATGACCTTTGAATTTGGCATATAATTGTAAGTGGACATGGAAGATCTGAGTCTGGTAAGAGTTTCATTAGTACTCTTTTGCTCTGAAGCATGGGCATTTAGAATGTACTAGCTTTTAAAGGAACAATAACTCTACTCGGGTAAAAATATGTGTCTGATCAGCTAATCAGTTACCATTGCTCCATTTTCCCACTCACAGGACAGCCATGAAGGTCCTCATCCTCGCCTGCCTGGTGGCTCTTGCTCTCGCCAGGGAGGTATGTGTTGAAGAATGTTCCTGTATAGTTAGGATGCAGTGAACCCTCAACCTACTTACCAACAACATCATCAGCATTTTATATATGTATGCATTACATATACAATGCATCAGCATCACATATGTGTGTGTGTATGTGTGTAATGAAGGGTTCTGCAGAACATCCATTGTCATAAAAATGATCCCCACACCATGTTGCCCACAACCTGGGGAAAATGCTTTTTATTCTACTAAACCATCAGTCCTTGAATTGAAGTTAAACATCTAAAAAACATAACAACAGAAGTAACAAAACAAAATACAAGAAAGAGAAACAGAAAAACAGCAAAAAAAAAAAACCCATATGATAAACAAAAACAATCAAATTTATGGAGACCTTAGATAAAAATGTTTTATTTTGGTGGGGGCAAGATCTCTTGAAAGGCATACAATATTTTTAAGGTACCAATAGGTGAAAGAATTGTGCATAAAAGACCTGAATGTTAACTAGAATACATGTTTAACAATGAATTTAGATAGAAACTAAAATGGTGTTTTTCTTTTTCAGAAGGAACAAATCAGTGTACCCACTGAGGTAAGATTTTTTTTGGGGGGTCCCAGAGAAGCAACCACAAAACAGTAACATTGTCTGAAACAGCTCTTACCTGGTTGCTAATTTTTCCCTCTTTTTCATTACAGACTTTGGAAAGTGTTTCAACCAGTGAGGTAAGACAAAGTTCTTTCAGAAGCAATTTCTCATTTTTAGAACAGTGAAGCAAAATACTATATTTGTGTTATGTTACACAAAATGCAGTCTTCTGACATGTAAGTGCTAATGTAAATGTACTTTATGCATGTTTATAGTCAGAATCAAATGTCTGTAGATTCACTTTTCGCTTACTAAGCCGTGTCAGCTTGCCAGCTCATATCTCTTGTTTTACTGATTCTACAGTCCTGATTTCCTGAACTCTGTCCTCCCTTCACTCACATTTAATATTTATCTAATCCTTTCTGTGGGTGATACAACTGATAGGAACAATGCACAGAAAGAAAACCCCAATGTCATTACAATGTAAAGTTTACAATGCGGCCAACAGATATATACCCAAAAGGACACACTTTGTTGTTACAGTTGCCACTTTGGTAAATAAGAAACAGTAAAAAACCTAGCTAGGAGAGGCAGCTAGACACATACTCTCTCAGTATGCATTCTTGTTATACTATCTTATGCTTACTAAATAAAGCAACAATATCAAATTGGTAAGGAATTTGTGTCATAATTCATGAAGCATATCATTGTTATATTTCCATCATTATTAAGATGTATTTTCAATGACAGTTTTGCACAATCACAAGGATGTTGGAGATAATTTTTTCTTAGAGAGCAGCATGGTTGTAGAGAGAAATTAGCATTGATTAAATGCCATTTTTGTACCATAATAAGCAGTTTTCTTTTGTCTCCTGATTGTCCTTTTCTGATATCTTATATAACAGATTAATGAAGAACAGTGAGTGTAAATGCAAGTTTTGGCAATAATTCTATTATGTATTATATCATCAAACCAAAATACATATTCATATGTTAAATGATTTCATTTTCTAATTTCTCTCGAAAGATAAGCATTATTCATTAAATCCAAATCTAATTTTCTTTTTCATTTTTCTATAGGAAACAACTACACATATCAATAAGGTAAATTCTCCAGAATTTCCATATTTTCAGTTTCTCATGTTTGTTTTCTATAGATGATAACAGCTTTATGTACATATATATATAATTTATTTTTTAGCAGAAGCTTGAGAAGGTTAAACACGAGGAGCAGCTACAAAGAGAGGTAATTTGTTGATGATGAGGATATTTCTGAAACTATTATGATACATCCTACTATAAAATTATCATGAAAAGCCATGAATGACAAAATTGAGTCAAGGACTCATGATTCTTCTCATTCTTTCCAGGAGAAGCTCCAGGAAAAAATCCTCCCCTTTATTCAGTCACAGCCTCTACTCTATCCTTATGCTGAGCCCATCCCTGTCCTGCCACAGAACACCCTGAACCTTGTCCAACCTGACATGCTGCTCCCTCTCCTCCAGCCTGAAATAATGGAAGATCCCAAAGTTAAGGAGACCACCTTTCCTAAGCGCAAAGTGATGCCTTTCCTCAAATCCCCAATGGCTTTCCCCTTTGTTGACCCTCAACTCCTGAATCTGAGGGAGCTGAAAACTCAGCACCCTTTTCTGCCTGAGCTCCTGCCCTTCATGCACCAGCTCTTCCAACCTTTTTTCCAGACTCCCATGCTTTATCCTCAGGCCCAGTTGCCTGTTTCTCAGACCAAATTTGTGCCCATTCCCCAACAAATGGTACCCTACACCCAAAGAGACATGCCTGTGCAAGCCCTTCAACTGTTCCAAGACCTGCGCTTCCCTACCCATGGGTTCTACCCTGTGACTCAGCCACTTGCCCCAGTTAATGTAAGTACGAATTTTGCTGTTGTCTTGCTGCTTCACTCATAGTGTGTTGGTGATGGTGAAATAATTGTGAGAACTCTAGGACGAAAGGAATATGTAATGAATTGTTCCACAATCATGTTTGAGATTAGTGATTCTCAATGATAGCTACACATTGGGATTATCTGGAGGCTCTCAGTCCTCAAATGCCAGTGCCAAAGGCCAGCTGCAGCGACTCTGATACAATACCCTTGCTTCTCTATGAAGACAAAAGCAATTGTTAGAAGGAAAAGATTATAGGCACTTCAACTTCATTCCTCTGTTGAGAATTCTGACTTAAAGTGATTGAAGTCTACTAAATCCAGAATTATTGTCATCTGAATGGACTTGAAATAAGAGCATTATTATTTTCTATAACTTAGAAAAAATTTCTTTGTTCATGTCTACTTCCTTTTCTTTGTGATATGCATACATAAGCACAAAAGATGAGGTTCTCAGTCCATTACTTAGAACATTTTAAGGCAAGTTTTTTTCCCAAGCTGTGAGCTCTTTATTTATTTACTCTGCATTTGTTTGTTTTAAAGGTCTAAGAGGATTTCAATGTTAGTATCTTCTTCTTATGTTTGGTAAGTTTTTAGAGTTTAGAGATTAGATTGATTGTCTTATAGTTGAAAACATTTTCTATTTCATTATCCTCCATCCTCCAAAAATCCAAGATAATAACAAATTTTGTTGATAGACTTAGCAATTTATTCACCATGATTATTATTTGCCAGTCAGAAACTATGCATCATTCATGTCCATGACAAGTTTTACTTTTATTTATGTGCAGTTGACAGATCTGACAGGTTTACTTTCACCAGCCGATGCCTAGGAAAAGCAAAAACGAGGGACTTCTTTTGTATCTGTGTAAATATCTTTGAACTTTGATTGAAGACTGATTTGTGCTGTTACTTCTGAATTGGGCCTTAAAAACTTTTTGTTTACTCATTTGAATCTATTTTTTAATTCATGAGTAAAAAGGAAAATATTTAGTATGAATGCAATGAGTCAAATCAGGAGAACAAAATAGCTGTGTTTATTTTTTAGTTTGGACATTCTATCAAAACATTAAGTAAAGATTAAGAGGAGATTGAAATGATACAAGAATAAAGAGAGAGTCACCATCTGATTGTTTATTCCCAAGTAATATGGGACCTAGTCACCCTCACTACTGAACTTAATGGGCACTGTAACGTCACAACTTTTTAATGTATCCATTTAAAATAACTAAGGCATGGAAAAATATGATATTGTTAGAATTTTAAGAATACAAAACCTTTTTATGATAATGATTAGGCATTTAACTAGAAAATAGTCTGAGTGAACTGATATTTATATTATAGGAATTTGGCACATTTGCACAGGAAGGCACAATAATGCATTAGCAATACTATTTCTTATTAATTAATTGCACCAAAATTACAAATGGAAATTGGTTAGTAATCATACAATAGAGCATAACTAATTCTGCATTTGTTCTTTATTCCACAGAATTGACTGAGAATGGAGCTATGGCATCTTTTCTGTCTCTCTATCATGTTATAAAAGATTAAACATGCATGAACTAATCTTCATGGCAAAAGTGAAATCTTTTATTTATTTATGTGTTAAGTTACATTTTGTTTAATTTGAATCTGACTCATAGATTCCTTATACCTGACAAATTGCAATTTCAATTAGTAATTGAAGTTTTATGTTGCGTTTGAAATGTTATGACCACGCCAAAATATGTTCAAAAATAGTTCTTACCATTATTTCTTACAGACTCTGTTTCCTTTCCAGTCATTTCAATAAATTAATCCTTTGGGCATACTTAGCTTGTCCTGTCTTTATTGTTATGTTTTCAATATTTCTAATGTTTTTAATGTTATCTGTAGATTACTATTGATAGTAAAGATAATTATACAAGAATACTTTGAAGTTGAACAGAATATTTTAAGTTCAATATTAAATCACCTGAAGGAGTGAAAGAAAAGCTAGAGTGATTGCGTGTTTGTCCATTTGCTCATGAAAAGTCACATTCTCCCAGGATAATTATTGCACGTGTGTATTGCACCTGTGTAAATTTTTAAAAAGCTAACATTAGAACTAAAGTTGTGTGATCACCTTAGGGAAATAGTTACAAATGTGTATTGCTAATTACTCTCAAATAGTGGCTAAGAGGTACTATAACAGGCATTCAGTCTTTCGGATTTCTGATTTCCACATCCGTGCAGTGGTCATGTGAAAAATATCACCAAAGTTTTGATGGCATCAGAAACATATTTATTAGATATTCCTAAATTATAAGTACTTCCTTTTATTCCGCACTGTTTATATCAGTTACACGAAAACAGCCAAGAATTCTTTCATAACCAATCAACTAAATTATGTGATTTTAGTCAGAAATGGCCCCAAAGTAAAACTTTTATATAAAACTATGATAACTACTGTCTAAAATTGAAGATTAATTTTTTTTTGTGATGAGTTAGCCCCTTCCCTCTATGTCTTATCTTGGACACTTGATCACATTCCTGTATGTATGTGTCTACACATGTGTGTGTACATATATATACTTTTCTTATCTCCAAAGTTTTCCTTAGCTTATTATGCTTGATGTAAATCTTGCCTATCCTGCTACATCAACCTTTTTTCTTTTTAAGTTTTACTTACAGATTCTAAAGGCAGGGGTACAGATACAGAGACAGATATGAAAAGAGGCATTTCCCATTCCCTGGTTAACTACCCCAAGATACACAAGAGCCAAGTTGGCCCAGGCTGAGGGTGGGAGCCAAGAAATGAACTTGGGTTTCTCATGTGAGAGGGAGGGATCCATTAGCCATGGTGTCATCTATTCTCTCCCATGATGCATGTTGGAAGTGAGTTAGAATTGTGAGCACAGCCTGGATATGTATGTCCCAAGGTGCTCTGATAAGGGATGTGGATATCCCAGGAAGAGACATAACTACTATGCCAAAAATTTGTCTCAATATCTCCTGAATTTAAAGAAAAAAATTGTCATGAGCACTGAGCTTTCATTTCTCCCACTGCTTTAGCCTATTCCATAGCAACTATCTTGGAGGTATTCATAGTGGTCTTTTTTAAAAATAATTTTAAAATTTTTATTTATTATTATTATCATCATCATTTTGTGATACAGTTCCATAGGCTCCTAGGATTTCCCTTATCTGCCCCCCCAATTTCCCGCTCCCACAGAGTTCCTCTATATCATTTACTAAAGTATAGTTCTTCTTACACAGTCATGTCCATCATTGAGGAAATGGACAATGGCAGAGAGTCCAGCATCCTATTGTCAAGATATATTAAACAATTTCATTGCAAGTCCATGTTTGTCTGGAAGTGGAGATGCATGCTACATTGTATCGTCACATCTGGATATGTTAGTTTCCATTTCACAGTTGCTGCACATCTCCTTAAATCAAAAGTCACAATACAAAATCAACAATAGGAAGTAAAAATAGAAATTTACAATGCCATGAAGTTAAATAACATGTTACTAGATATGACAATCTCCATTACACAGCTACTATACATTCCCTTAAATGAAAAGCCCTAAAACAAAACAACAGGAAGAAAAAAGAATTTAACAACACCATGAAGTTAAATAACATGTTACTAGATATGACAATCTCCATTACACAGCTACTATACATTCCCTTAAATGAAAAGCCCTAAAACAAAACAACAGGAAGAAAAAAGAATTTAACAACACCATGAAGTTAAATAACATGCTATCGAATGAGTAATGTGTAACTGAAGAAATGAAAAAGAAAATCAAGAACCCTCCTGAAGAAAATGATGCCACTGTATGATCTATGAGTCACTGAATAATTTAATAAGAAGAAACTGTTTTGAAGAGATGAAACTAACAAAAACAAAAACATCAAAATCCATGAGGTATAGTTTTCCTCTGATTTTGTTGGTGAAATGTGTCTCTTCTAGACAACAAATAGATGGGTTTTGTTTTTTAATACAGTCTACTAATCTATGACATTTAAGCTTAAGCCATTTACATCAGGGTAATAATATGACATGTTATTCTATCACTAAGCCAGTCCAAAAACTTCTGTTCTACTGACAACTCTGTAAACATATTTATAAATCATGCTTTCTACACAATATGTGAATGGAGAATATATCTTTGAGATCCCTAAAAATTCATCATTGCTAGATATTCTTGTAGATTTGAAATTGGAAACAATTATTAGAAAATGATCATATAAACAGACATTTCACCACAATGGAAATAAACCCGGCATAATACGTTTAGGGACTGGCACAGGGTGTAGTAGATTAGGCCTCTGCCTGTGAAGCCAGCCCATATAGGTGCCAACTGTTCCACTTCTGATCCAGTTTCTTGCTTATGGCTTGAGAAAACTGGAGGACAGCTCAAGTGGGAGACCCGGAGGAGGCCCCTCGCTCCTGCCTTTAGATCAGTCTGGCTTAGCATCAACTCTGTTCTGTCCTTTGCTGACATTTGGGGAGTGAGACTGCAGATAAAAGAATTCTCTTTCTGCTTCTCTTCTTTGTAACACTGCCAAAAAAAAAAAAAAATCTTAAAGAAGTGCAACAAACTAGCCAGTAAAGGATGGGTGTTAAAATTTCACTACAAACCTATCAGAAAGGGTAAAATGAAAAATAGTGTCACTAAATGCTGATGATAATGTAGAGAAACAAAGACACATTTATACAATGAATTGAAACAAAATCATATAACAACTCTTGAAAATAAGTCTACTTTGTTTCTAAAGCAACATGTCCTAGTACTATACAACTCGACATTTTACAATTTAAAATTTATTTCAGAAAAGTAGAAACATTAATGTTTATATAAACTATGGAACAACTATCTTGAAGCATGATGTTCAACTAGTGAAAATAAGTGAGTTATTCTGCACATAATGCCTTCTGTGTGCCTCTACATTATTGATAGAGTGACAAAGAGGCAATTTCATAAGGATATTCCACAATTCCAAGCTTTCTATCTATTTTGTCATGATTTCTTGTGAATCAGAATATAAGTCAGAAATACAACTATTTCAAATAAGACCAATTTCCAAGATTGTGACTGATATCTTATTAAACATTTATATGAAATTGAGAGTCAGCAAACAAATTTCCTTTGTGTAAACTGTTGTAGCATGAGAGGCTATACGCGAGAAAACTCAGTCACTCTTTCATTATTTATTTATTTTTAAAGATTTTATTTATTTATTGGAAAGTCAGATATACAGGGAGGAGGAGAGACAGAGAGAAAGATCTTCCATCTGCTGATTTGCTCCCCATGTGGCCACAGTGGTCAGAACTGAGCCAATCTGAAGCCAGGAATTAGAAGCTTCTTCCCTGTCTCCCACGCAGGTACAGGTCCATGCAGGTTCGAAGGCTTTGGGCTGTCCTGGACTGCTTTCCCAGGCCACAAGCAGGGATCTAAATGGGAAGTGGGGCTGCCAGGGCTAGAACTGACACTCACATGAGATCCAGCGCCTGCAAGGCAAGGATTTTAGCTGCTAGGCTACTGTGCCAGGCCCTCATAATTTATTTTAAAGAAAATCTTCCCTTCAAAAAATGTAAACCAAACTGTCTTAACTAATGTATGTGATGAGAAAAATAAGTAAATTTGTATGAAAGACTTTAAAATATGTTTTGAAGAATTTTCATAATGGTTGAGATGTAGGCTGAGGGACAGGCATTTGGAAAGGTGATTGACATGCACTATGTCAGACATCCCATATCAATGTTTCAGCTCCACTTCTCATTGTGGCTTCCTGTCTGTGTGAGCTCTAAAACGTAGCAGGTGGTGCTTCAAGTCTCCCTAGAAAGGATAGAGATTGAATGATTTTTACTAGATTCAGCCTAGCCCAGCCCCAGCTGTTATAGTCACTTTGAGAGTGATCCAGTAGGAAGAAAATATCTTTTTGTCTTCCTACTGCCAAGATTCATCATAAGTTTACACTTACGTTTACTTCACTTTTAGTAGAATTGGTGTTGCTGTGATAGTGGCCTTTTAAAAATTATGTCTAATCCTTAGTGCTTCAAACTAGACCATGATCAGACTATGGCATATTAATCAGTTTATTTTGGATACATTTTTTGGAAGTCCATGCTTAGTTTTTCATGCTATTCGTCTTCTAATAACTTGCCTAAGACCCTGAGACAGTTGACTGAAAAGTGCCGGAGTCCAGCTCCAGCCGAGATCGGAGCTCGGGAAGGGTACGTGGAGTCGGCGATAAAGACACAGACACTGTTACTTGGTGCGCTCTCACAGCAGCTCAAGAAAAAGCCATCCTTTTTATTTACTCAGACACCTCAAAAGCTTCTACACAAGCAACTAATTGTTCTATTTTTTACTTCAAGACTAAGGGGGCATGTACAGACATTTGGTCACTCCATCTGCACTTCAGGGCTAAGCAGGTGCCCCTAAAGATAATTCTGCAGAATACTGTATTCATATTCTTCAAAGCAAGCCATTATTCATTCTTCAGTACTACTAGCCATGGAGCAACGGCCAGGACTCCAAGGCCAAGGCACATGTGATTACCTGCTAATCAGTAGTACATTCCTACCACATTTTTATTTCTACTATTTAGCTATTATTTAATGGGAAAATAGGTTACAGGAAAAAAAAATGTAAAATCCAAAACAAAAGTTTCAAACGTCAAATCCTGCTACAACCATAGACTCTACAACCCCATAAACAATGAAGCAATATTTAAAAGCATTTTTATTTAATAAAAGCATTTTAATCCCTCTAACTAAAAATTATAAAAGCAGCTAAAACAGTTACATTTTCTATGCTCCAAAAAATTGCAAAGAAAGACTAACCTTTGAGATAACAATAACTATATTCATTGCCATAGCAGTTTCAGCTCTTACTCCCATCACTTGCATTAATGTTTAGAATATTTTCAAGCCCCTTCCCAGAAGGAATGCTACGTGTATGGGCCAAATTCTGAGGCAATGGTTAAGTACCCAATAAGGTGTCCAAAAATGGCACGGGCTTAATTGTGTTCCTGTGTGTCAATTGTCAAAGGCCCATTCACCAAGACATTATCAATGACATTAACTCTCATGCTCACATTGGTTGCAAAAACTGTCTCACAGGGGCAAACAGCAATGTCTCAATAAATAGATTACAGAATTCTTAGTGGGGTGCTTGAGTGTCCACGCAGCCAGGGGGTGAAACAGCGTCAAGGTGGTCAGAGAGAAATCCGCCTGGCCCTGCCAAACAGCTGGAAGCTCCCCAGGGCCCTGCCAAACAGGGGAGCTGTTCTTTGTGTCATCCACACCCACTGCATGGACCCCAGCAGAAAAGCTTTATCTATTAAGTGAACTGTAATGTTTTAAGGAGAAATAGACTGCATATGATTTTTAAAAAGCAAAGTAAGATTGTTAAAAAATTTGGAAAATTTTGTGTATCAATCAGCCTTTCTCATTTCTTCAAGTTGCAGTATCTGGTCACACCAGATGCATGTATTCCTGAACAGTCACCAAAGATTAGAAAACATAATGGAAGGTGCAGGTATATATTCTTCACTCTTCTAACACAAGCATTTTTTTTATAGTCAGTTTTTCTCAATAATCTGTAAAATGCCACTCTACAAGACACTTTGGTGGCCATAATGAAAAGGAAAACATTGGGAAATACATCTTGATGGATAGAGCTAACTCTACTAATATCTAGCTACTTCCTGTGTCTAAAGAAAAAACATAGATGACTTCCCTAAATGTTTCATGAGGAATAGACTTTGTAAGAAGTGAGTTCTGGGCCTGGCAGCGTGGCCTAGCAGCTAAAGTCCTCACCTTGAACCCGCCCGGGATCCCATATGGGTGCCGGTTCTAATCCTGGCAGCTCCACTTCCCATCCTGCTCCCTGCTTGTGGCCTGGGAAAGCAGTTGAGGATGGTCCAAAGCTTTGGGACCCTGCACCTGTGTAATTATGGTTGACTGGGAACGCTAGTGAAGAGCTCCCTATGACAACTGATATTGCATTTGTGACCTCAAGGAAAGTGAAAAGACACTGAAGATTCATAAAACCAAAGAGGTGATAGGTAAATACCTAAATTGGGGCATGCATTGTGGGTAATGGATTAAGCTGTTGGGTGCAACATCAGCACACCATGTGGGCACCGGCTAAATCCCAGCTGCTTCATACCAGAAGCTCCTGATTAACATACCTGGGAAAGCTGAGGAGGATGTCCTAAGTGGTTGGCCCCTGCATTCTCATGGGAGAACCAGACGGAATATTGGTTCCTGGCTTCTCCCTGGCCCAGTTCTTGCCTTTGGGGCCATTTTGGAGAGTGAGCCAGTGGATTGCATCTAATATTCCAGCATCTTGGGCATTGGCTTTACCTACTGTACCACAATGCCAGACCACCGGTTTGCTTGTTTCTCAGCAAAGTAAGAACCTACGCCATTCACAGTAATGGCCTAGCCCAGAATGTGTTATTTGGATAGATATGCTAAGAAACCGTTATGAGCTCCATATTGCTTTCCTCAAGTATGGAGTAAAGAACTAAATACACAGTTCAGTAACTGTCATAAGGATTCCTGTAACAAGATGACAAACTAAAAGTATTATATCCCTGGGAAAATTGCAATAGCTGTTATAAACTAAAACAGGATTGTGAATAATACTACAGTAATATTCTGTTTCCTCATTTGTATTTTGGGATAATTTCTTGTGAATTAGTAAAGGTTTCTTGCAAGCTTTTGAGTTAGTAATATATATGATATCTATTGTAGGTGGTATCTATCTTTAAAGATTTTTGTATTTGAGGGACAAAATTCCATCTGCTGGTTCACTCCCCAAATGGCCTCAATGGCTAGGACTGGGCCTATCTCCAAGTCTTCCCTAGTAGTTGCAGGAGCCCAGGTCTTGGGTCATCGTGTCTGCTTTGCCAGGCACTTTACCTGGGGTTGAATCAGAAATGGAGCATCCAGGACTTGAATTGGCACCCACGTGTAATGCCACCATCACAGATGGCTTCTGAACCTGCTTTACCTCTGAACTGGCCCCTATGTATATTTTTCTGCAGATGATATTTTAAATGTGGTTAGTGTCAGATAAATTCTTGATTTATTGGTATCTGATTTGCAAACAATACTCTGGTAAATATGCGTTTGTATCATTGTAATTTGAAAACTAAAAAGAATAACAGTACCAGAAACAGAATTTGTTTTTTTTCAAAATAGAGACTTCTGTATCACGTCTGGTTTTAAGCATAAAGTTACACTAATGTTGTTAGTTAATCTGTGGGAAATACGACTGTCTTATCATCCTGTGGTTCATGATATTTGTATTGAACTGGTGACTATTCTTACAGGACTCGTGAAGCAAGCTGTACCTGCCTTCAATCCCTTGGAAAGGAAACATAGTAACACAAACTGGGAGACATGTCATGGTTGCTTCCTCCATTAATTCCCTGCAGGTCTAATTACCCTTTATGCATTTACAGATCTTCTGTAGTTTCCCTTTGTATTTATGAACATTGAGAAAACATACTCTATACAAAATATTTATAGCACAATACCAAATGGCTTTAAGACAAAAATATGTATTTGGAGATATGTGCTTGTGTGTGCGGTAGTAGTATAGCAGTACATTGAATACCCGATGCTTTCTAAATAGTTCAGATCTGAGGGTTCATTAAAAGTTAGTGACAAGTTGGTTGGTGTAAGGAACTTGGTACAAACTCTGCCAGGTAAGTCTCACCTGGAACTTTGAAGTATCAGAATAAACTTTCTGAAACACCTCTTGCTTGCATTCTGGCAGAGAGTTCATTGTGGAAGCCAGGCTGGAGTGTATTCTCATCTGAGCTGTTAATGCTCTTGATCTATTATCTCTAGCTACATATTGAAGTAAAGCCCGGTGGCATAAGTATGTTGCATAACTCTATAGCCACAATTATGACCTCATGGGAGATATTCTATAAGCAAATCACTGGAAATTAAAGATCTTGGACATAGATTACAAATGTATCTTCTGATCTGCAAGTATCAGTCAGAAAGTATAATGATAATTGACAGAAACAAAATACTACACAGAGACACCACAGAATTATGTAGATATTGATGGTTTGAATAATGGAAGAAATACAGATTTGCGTTAAAATGTGATTTATTGAAGAAAAGGAAGAACACATCTCAGTCACTGCACACAATTATTTGACAAGCTTGCCCTTAAAGAAAAGGCTATCCAAAGGCTTTTAAACAAAATTTCCATTACAGAAACTTAGCAGTTCTTAATATCTTCTAACCAGATGCTTTCCATACTGGCATGATACAGCTAGAATTTAAATAATAAACTAATACCATTTTCTTTAGGAAAAAGGATGATACACTATGCAACACAGAGTAGATTACTCAAAAATGAAGATGTCCTTCCAAAATAATAAAGCCTTTGGATAGAATGGTTTCACATATTAAAGAAGAGAATTTCATAGTGTGAAATTTTCAGTCACATCTGTAAATAGAAATATAAAATGTGGTTAGTTACATAAAACATTTTAGGAGTAGAAAAAACTTTACCAATAGACTATGCTATTAGATCAGCTTACAATGCTATGTGTGCATACCTGTAACCAACACATTGTTAAGATTTAAAGATAATATATTATTAAATGGCATTTTCCTTGTCTATCATACATTATATGGAAAGGCAATTATGAGAAAAGGCTTTTCCATAGATCAGTTTTATTTATCAGTTTTCTGAGCTTGATGTGTTGGAAGGGAAGTTTTCTCAACTAAAGAGGGAAAACATACAGTACAACTAGAGATCACAGCCTTGTGGATGACACAGTTAATCACATTTGCAGACCTTTTCCATGATGGTGACAAGCAGACACTTGGTATTGCTGTGTTCCTTGCAAACATGGCAAACATACTAGATTGATCTCAAAGAATAGGGTCCCACCAGTAGGTTCACTAGTGTTCCAAATGCACATCTACATAGGAAATTAGTAACACCAACACCATACTTGTATTGGCGTTCCCAACATTGTAAATAGTTATCAGTTGAAATTTCCTGTTTTAAAAGTTGGTATTAAGACTGATGTGGTAAATAGCACCAGTTGCAGTTGCTATTTCAATGCATTTGTGATCATGAAAATAATTTTCAAATGAAATTAGCATCAACGGCTGCACAGGGAATTTCCAATCTTACCATTGGTCATAATTGTGGAGTTCCTGAGGGTTGACTTAATTCTTCTGAAAGAACAAAAAAAAATAGAAATTATGTATAACTGTAATGACATAAAATTTCACTAAATCAAGGAAAAATGACTTCTACCCATTTTGTGCTTATTGTCCCCCCTCCCCTCCTAAAACAGGTATGTGTGTGTGTGTGTGTGTGAAATAAAAAATCACTTCAACCTTCTGGGTTATAAAACATAAAACAACATTGCATCATTTCACACATGCAAAAAGGTCAAACTGAATTAAAGAAATGTAAATTTGTATCTTATTCCCTTTGGAGCATTTTTATATTTCTCATATATGTAATAAAGAAGGAAGGCACTTAAATATTAGCAAAAGGAGATTTTACAAGTCATAGTCTAGTTTTAATTTGGAGAAAAGCTTTTTCCTACCCTCATTAGAATAAACTTCTCTTATTGAGTAGTTAACATGCTACACCTGTTACTAACCGATGTGCTAATATTGGACATGGATGCCAGAGCATATGAGTTAAGTTTATATTTCAGATATACTAGGACTCCACTCTAGGCTTGAATTTTTTATGTTCTTACTGAGAGTGGTCTTATTTCTTTGGCAGAATATAAGTATGCAGTAACTAACATATACTCACCACCACTCTGGCATAACATCAGTTTGTTCAACGTTCACAGGGGTGTTGGGTGTAGTGATGTCATAGATAAGTGGGAAGGCAACATACTGCATCACGTCTGTGGGGTAGTACCAAGGAGCAGGGAGGTAGGCATCAGGCTGGTAGAACGGTTGGAGAAGCTAAAGGGAAAGGTGATTGAAAAATAGCCCTGCATGAACCAATTGCTCTTTGAATGTTTCAGAAATCATTTCATCCTTTCTGAAATTTCATTGTCATTTAATGTATAGACTTGTGGGCTTTAAACTCTAAAAAATGATTTTTGTCATTTATACTAATACTTCGATTTTGCATGATGTCACTGCCATCAAAGGAGGGGCTCCACGTGCTGTGTCTACACAGTTGAATTTGAGTTATGCCAGGAATAAAAAGAGAGCAGTTCTCAACTTTCACCTAGCCCATGCTCTTGCCAAACACTGGAGTTTTTGGGCCAAACAATGTTTTTCTTTCTGAAATTCTATGTCTGTCATTTTACTTAACCATTTCTATGGTTCTGTCTTCAAGCATACGATTACATGCAATTATGTGTTGAGATGGAAAACATAGCAGAGCATTTCAACTTCCACTATAACACAGGACTTAGATTGAAACAGATATAATTTATGTGATTTTCTTTTTACTTGTTAAAGTACTAGATTGCAAATAAGCATAAAAAGCATCTTACCTGAGGATAGAACTGAACCTCCTGCTGCTGGAGAGAGAGAGAGACAGAGAGATCTTTGAAAAAACTGTGGTTTATAGCCAATTGAATACCATGGTGGACCAAATTCTTGCTTAAAAAAAACCTCCTCATCAATATACTACAAACACCAAGATATGGGAGTTATGAAGAAGGGAAGGGATCAAAAGATACGTAAAATTTTCCACAAATAAAAAGTCAGAAGTCAAAGAGAATAGTCAGTCATATTATTAGAAGGTGTCATTCCTGGGATGGGTGTTCTGTAGCAGTTGGTTTATCTGTTACTGAGATGCCTGCTTTTAGTATTGGAGTGTCTGATTTGAATCCTGGCTTCTCAGCCTCCCATTTAGCTAAGGGTGGCAGTAAATGATGGTCCAAGTACCCTCGGTTCCTGGCTTTGGCCTGGCCTAATTCTGGTTGTTGTGGGTATCTGGAGATGGATGATCTCTCTGTGTATACTATTCTGTTTCCCTGTCATTATGCCTTTTAAACACATAGTTTTTTAAAAGTATATTCCTGAGGGATAAAATTCAGATTATTTCTGCCACACAGGAATATTGAATAGGAGATTCAAATCTGGGTATCATGAACGATCAGTTGAGTTTTTTTTCCATAACTTTAACGTTGTCCTGAAGTTATCTTCATCACACTTTGGAGATGACCAGATAATCAGTTTTCATTTTTCTTTGTTAACTGAGACCCAATCTTCTACAGCAATGAAAGGACTAACACTGAGGAATCCGGTCCTAGTCAACTGTTTAGAAATGCTAAAATTGTATTAGCTAGTGCTGTACTAGTTGAATAGTTTTTTGAAAATGAAAACAGTGGCTGCTCATAGATAATACTTAGGGCAGTGTTAAGAGACACACACAAATAAATGCACATGCACATATTTCCTGATTTACCTGATTCATCACTCTCATCGGCTCTCTCTGGAAAGAAAATAAATTAGGATTATTTTTAAGACTGATTCTTCTAAACAACCCATTTTTAAATATTGTCGCATGAATAGATTTGGAAACTGACATTGATTTTGCCATTTACATTTGATGACCTAGAAATTGCACTTTCTGAGATATATGGGACATCCTCATCTTGATCTATTTGTGTAAAGTAGGTGACGGTTGAAGGCTAAAACTGGCCTCGCTATTCCGAGGAACCAGAATTGCTGTGACAATTAGTTATTGATTTTAAAATGAGGTCATAATCCTGGAAACACTCAGGAACCAACTGAAGATAGGCAAGGGGAGAACTAGTATGTGCTTTGCATTGCTCATGAACACATTCTACATAGAAAACAAGATCAGAGTATCAGAACACTCAGCCTCTCCTGACGGTTCTTTAAAAAAAAAATGTGTGGTGGCTAGCAAATCTCCAATACATCTTGCTTAATGGTAGCTGGTTTTTAGATTCCTAAACGAAGCTAAGCTTAAGAGTCAGAACTATGAATCGAAAGCTATAAAATGAAGAAACATGCTAAGAAGAATGGAGGTAATTAATTCCTGAACACGCTTGTGATTATAAAAGTAAAGCCCACATCAACTTCAGACAGACGGAACCTTTCTCACTCTGCAAAATAATGACAAATAGCTCTTACTGCTCAGATGAATTAATGTAAACCATTTCAGGAAATGAGCAATGTGAGATGCTTAGAAACAAACAAATCCCTTCTGAAGTCTGGATATGAAAAAGTAAGCATATTTAAACTTAAACAATGCAATTATATTAAACAAAGTATTCCTACCTGGATTTGGTAATGTTCATTCATTCTGAGAAGTTGCTGTTGCTTAAAAGGGAATACATTCCAATTACTTAGACATCTGGAAAACAAACTCATCTCACAAAATACCAAGAGTATGTACTCATTAGTGAAATTTAGAATAAGCTGTATTCTATGCCATGATTGCAAAAACAGCAAAACACATTTATTTTCTGACTTTAGAAAAATATACAGGTAAAGTTTAAGTTCACTGGAAGTTTGGAAAAACTTATATGTTATTCTTATTCAAAGCATAATAACAAAATGTATTTAAAAGTATGACTTACAAATACTTGTTTCAAAAAAAAGTATGACTTACATACTGATATAAAAATGTTTGCTTTTAGAGCGCAATGAGTAAACCTTTAAAGTTGTAAATATTACTTCCAATGAGTATAGTTGTACCAACTACTGAGAAGAAAGTTACTTTTCAAGACAACATTCTCACTCATTATTTGGTACATATGCAATGTAAATCTTAAATATTACCGGGTAGAATGGGTAGAGCAGATCTTCCCTGGGAATGAACTGCTTCTAAAAAAACACAAACAACAATTGTTTCAGTAAATTTTAACTTATCCTGGACAATACTAATATATTTTAAATTTAACACCTATGTCTCACCTCAGTGCTGTTGATCACAACCTCCTTAAAAACAAAACATGCACATTCAGTTTTAATATTATGGTAAAGATTTTACATTTAAATAAGAATACTATCAATCAGATACTAAGTAACAACTAGCCACAGAATCTTGCATGACTAAATCAAAATATATGTTGCCTTTCTTTCCTTTTCTCACTGTTTTCATGAAGACATTACTAAGAAACCCCATGGAATTAGTTCTTAGTTGACAACTTGTATGGAGATTTTCCCCTAAGGAGAAAGGACCCATCACTTTTTCTGCCTGTTCTCTTTCTATGAACAAGCACAAACATTGGACAGAATTTAGAGGATTCCAGTGTCTGATTAACTTTGAATTGATTGATTTTGTTTCGTGTAACAAATGATTGTATTATTGTTGGCAATTCTCAATGATAAAATTGCATTTTACCCAAACTTCAGGAAAAAATACATAGGAAAAAGAATAGTTCAGACCCTATGGGTGATCAGACAGGATTGTTTGCCCAGAATAATTCTATAATCTTTAAAAATTTCTTTTGACTTGACAATAGCATACTAAAATTAGGATAATGCCATATACAGTGCTGAGGGTCTTGTAGGATTTGTGGTATTTATAGAATAAAGTTTTCAAACCACTTAATCAGGACACTCAATGATCATCACCATAATTTACCTCACTTGATGAACTGCTGCTAACTTCTCTTGGCTAAAAGAAAGAAAATCAGCATTATTGACATGCCAGGGTTTGGAGAATTTTTAAAAAAGATAGATCTGTGCGATCCTGAGAGAGAGCTTATCCTGGAGGATGTCAGAATTTAAGCAGGTGGTGTGAAAAGATTCATGTATTCTAACAGTGTCAATTTTACTTGAAGAATGCCAGTGTGAGGGAATTTAGCAACTTCCAAGGAGTTTACTTCATTAAAGTAAACACAAGTGTATCATTGAAGAGAACACAAAAATTATATTGATTTTTCTGATAAAAATGAAACCTGAAAGGAGGAGTCACATTGAGCTTGGCATTTCAGAACACAAGGTTAAGCATGGTAATCTGCTGTCAGGACTACTTAAAAACAATCTCAACATGGAACTAACACGTATGAAGTCTTAAAAAATCTACACTTTGAACTATGTGCTTTTCTTCTAAGTTGTATTAAGTCAACCTTTGCATTGAGATCTAAGTTTCATTCTAGGATTCGTATGTTAAAAGGTAAATTTTATTTCATCTCTGAGAAGTACATTTTGCATGTTCTTCTCAGAGTGGGTAACCTGAACCCTTGATCCCAGGTGATTGCTGCAACGGATGGCAAATTTTGCCCAACATCTATCCTTTTCAGTAGAAAAGAATGAGCCATTCCAAGGGCACCAGAGGTAGAATTCTTTTGGAATCTCATTCCAAACATCCCAGCACATTTTCTTTTTCACTCTTTAAGTATAAGAAATGTTTTCACTCACAATCTTTCAAATAGCTTGAATTTCCTCTCTCAATTTTACATTTTGCTAGCACAACATTATACAACAAAGTCTAATTCCTTATCAAATTGAAAAGATAGTTTTCTTAAAATGAGCATACTGGATTCATTATGTATGATACCTAACTTTATTAGAATAAAAATGTCTTACCTCACGCTCTTCCATAACATGTTCCTTAGGGGGAGAAAAAAATGATTAACTTAATTGTTTTTAATAAATAATCAAATTTAGATTAATAACTGCTGGATAGGATAGATGCCAAAGAAACTGGAAAATTGAAGCAATCCTCTAATAATTAAGAAAACAAACAGTATGCTGTTGTTCTAAGCTTACTGGAAATTTCTCCTCTTAATCTATACTTTAGAGTTTAATAAAATCATTTTTCATTCTTGTATATTGTGATAAATCAGTCTGAAAACTTTGCATTTTCCTTTAATCAATGTAATTTCTTGTTTTAAAAAGTTAGCTTTAAACATTAAACAGAAGCATAGAATTGAAGATCATGTGATAAATATAAGAATGCCAAAAGAGAGTACTGCCTCAGTGGTGCATAAAAATACTTAGGCAGACATTTTTCCATCTAGTATCTACAGTAGTCAAACAGTAGTGGTATTATTAACAGAATTTCAGCATCAGTGTTGAAGCTTGTTTCATTAGCTGGTTATTTCTGGCTAATACAGAGTATAGAACATCTTTTTCCCCCCTTTGGATTAGAGACATATTCTTTACTTTTAACTTAAAAGACTTATTTATAGCAGGGTGCCTAAAGGAAATATTGTGTTTCTTTCCTTAGCATTGGTCTCAATAATATTAAAACAAAGGGCCTTACCTGGGTTACTTCATTTCTAATTTCCTGCCAAAAAAGACAGTCAGGTTTCAGGGAATATATAAGAAAATATATATTTCACCTTAAAAATTGTGAGTAGCCATGTGATCTCTCAATATTGAAGCTATTTGTAAATTAGTTCATAATGCAGCTGAAAACTGTTTAGAGAATAAGATGTTGAGTTTAAGGCTTGCACGCCAACTGAAGTGGATGGGTGAAACCTAGGCTCTGCTCCAGATTCTAGCTTCCCAGTGATCAGCCTGGTCCTGGCTCTGGTCTAGCCCAGGGCTGGCCATTAGTGAATGGGAGGACATTCTCTCTCTCAGTCTCTCTCTCTCTCTTTCTATTTCTCTCTCTGTGTGCGTTTTGTCTGTACATATAAAAGAAACCATTTATTTAAAGAAAGCATAATCAAGTGTGACTATGCAAAGCATTCTTGATTCAGGTATATTACTTTATATAATACCATCGATAAAGTAGTATTTCAGCTTTGGTAAAGTGTAAACAATTGAAGAGTACATAATTACATTTATATAATTGTTTACTTATTCAGCCACACTAATTAATCTCATCATGCCTACTCAGTTAAATGAATAAAATCAATGGTATTAGAATTCTCAGTAAGATCACTAGTTATTTTGAATGTGTGAATAACCTGAGAAAGTTTCAAGGAATGAATAAGTGTCTTAGAAAAAAACATTTGTTAAACAAAATTACTTTACATGGATATATATTTTATGATACATGTTAAGAAAAGTGCATTTAGCGTATCATTTAAGGTGTTCACATCCCACATTGGAGTACTCAAAAATTCCTAACCCTCTTGGTAATGCAGACTTTGGAAGGGAGCCAGTGGCTCAAGGAGTTTGACTCCTGGGTTTGGCTCCTGTCTGACCCTGGCAGGTCACAGGATTTTGAGGCATGAATCAGCACATTGTAATACTGCCTCCCATCCACTCCCTCTTCTCTCAGCTAATCACACCTCTGATCAAATATTTAAAAAAGAAAGAAAAGTCAAGAAAACTTGGATACCTTGATTTCATCAATCTGTTTTTCTCTCTCAAGTTCTCCCTGCTAAAATGAACAAAAATATAGCTTATCAAATGCATTTAAAGGGCAAACATTTAAAACGGTTTAAATTTTTTCATGTTTCTTACCCTGTTCAATTCATTGATATATTCCTAAAGAATGGAATGGAAAGATAAACTTCTTTTGAGTAAAAATGATAGTATAAAATGATCATTTAGCTAATACAAATTTAAAAATCTATTTTCTTAAATATACTAACATTGCTGATTTTTAACCTGTGCTACATTTCTTTACATATGCTCCTGGTATGTGAATGTGCAATTCAAATATTTCTAAATTTAATTTACTTTTTGTCAGTCTGTCTTTCACCTTGTTTCACACGTGGTCCTGTGGAGTCATTCTTACCTGTCCTAATTCAATGGGGGCAGTCTACAACAAAGAAAAGTGGAAAAGTGTATTAAAATTTATCCACAGTTACATTATAACATCTTTTAAATAATGACCTTGAATTAGCATTTGATGTTTTATTCAATTTTTAGGTTATAAAATCATTGGAAAATATAAGAGGTGAAATATTTTCAGTTAAATCACATTGTATCATATGAGTATTGAAATTGTAAATTTATACATAGTTCATGCAAAGGAAAGCACAAATGCTTTGGAAAAAGATAACCATTTAGTACCAACTAAAATCTAGCACATATCTTTAAGGAAGGGACATGTTGATCAAGACAAGAAGCATTTTTATAAACAAAAACTAAAATAGGTTTCTGAGAAGAGTGTGTTTATCCCTTAGGAGTAAATGGATAACATTTACCTGGAAAAAACTCAGAGGCTGTCTTTCTTTGATGATTTCCTGTGGAAATTAAATTTTGAATGATAAAAATGATAAAAACATCAAACAAGGCAAGATTTATTTTCTGTCTGATTGCAGGTATTCATTTAATGTGACAGGCCATCCTATATTTTTAAATAGAAGAAATAGATAATTTTATTTTTATGGTTTAGTATTAAAATCTCTTGAGAATATCTTTTTTTTAAATTTCCTTCATTGCAGACCAACAGATCAAGTGAATCAATATTCACTAAAGTGTTTAAGGAAGAAACTAAATCTGTGTTTCTTCTAATGCAGTAAAAGAGAAACCTAGATGCTTGAGTATTAGGAGGTAACCCAAACTTGAATTTAGAAGACATTTGGCTGTCTACGGCCATACCACCCTGAACGTGCCCAATCTTGTCTGATCTCGGAAGCTAAGCAGGGTCGGGCTTGCTTAGTACTTGAATGGGAGAAGACATTTAGCATTTATGTTATGACAGAGCATGGAGGAAAGAAAAGGCTGAACTTCCAAAGGAGCTTACCTCACTGTTGATGGGTTGATTCTGCAAAGAATCATGTAAAAAATACTATTAGTTCAGGTACTGGAGGGTCATGGATTGATTCTTGTAAAAGGATGGGCTAGCTGAAACTAATTTACAAAGAAGTCTATAAAAGGAGACTGCCTAGTAAAGTGAATGCTTGAACTGGTGAAAAAGACAGGCAAGACCACTCTAAAAGCAACCATGACATCATTATTCTGTTTAATTCATCAATGACTAATAAGAGTTTAAACATAAATGCTCTCATAAATCCATGTCACCTCCTCTTTAGCAGCTTTTTGAGAGCAAGTGATTTCCACAATTTAACTCAAGAAATGATATCTCAGCAAATGTGAAAAATGCTGTTGACTAGCGAAAACAAAAATAGGCTTAGCAACATTGCTATCAATAATCAACACTTAACCATAATTACCATAAATTCTTGACACATGAAATAAAGTACTTACTTCGACAAATTTTAGGTGTCTAAAAGGGAATTTCTGTAAAAAAAAATACAAGAATTGTAAAACAAAAAGAAAAGCAAAAACAAAGTGATGATAAAAACTATTAAAAAATTTCAATACATGCATGATAAGAATTTTACTATTGCTATTTAAGAATTTTGTTGTTGTTGTTGTTAAATAGCAACATTTGTCAAAACCCATGTTTTTTGATAGCAAAAATTGGGAATAACTGAGGTATATTTATGTTATTAACAAATATCAAAGCAGAATAGGTTTAACTTCCTTTTTCAGACAGACACTTGGAAATTTGATATAAAATGTGTCTAAAGAGGAAAAATTTTGCTATTTGAGTTAATCCAGATGATGAAAAAATAAATCTTTAGCTTTTTGAACTATTTATGGTAATCTTTAAGATAATTTTTTTAAAAAAAATCATCTGCTTAAAAAACAAAGCAGAACACAGACTCAGCATTGTGGTGTCGTGGGTTAAGCTGTTGCCAGTGATGTGAGCATTCCCCATGAGTTCAGGTCCTAGCTGCACCACTTCCAACGCAGCTCCCTGCTAATGCACCTGGAAAAGCACTGGAACCAGGCCTGAGTGCTTGGGCAGCTGCCTGCTCATGTGGGAGATCTGGTTGAAGCTTTTGGCATGTTCCTTGAAGCAGAGTTCGAACGCATTAGTACTACTGGAAATGTGAAGCATTAGCACCATGAATATTTTAAGATTATTATTCTTATGATGTGTTCGATCAGGTAGGTGGTATCCCTTCTCAAAAGAATTTAGAATCTTCTAAATTCCTTACTGTACTTACAGGCCTGGCTAGAGCAGCAGCCACAAGGCAGGTGAGGATGAGAAGCTTCATGGTGGTCAAGGCCTATGCAAGGGGACAAAAAAGTAGTTTTTATTAGAGCGCTTTAAAAAAAAAATGAGAGAATATTCTGGGGCTGGCATATTATAGAGAAGTGGTTAAGTCACTGGTAGAGACTCTCATCCAATAAAGGAGTGCCTGGCTTGTGACACTGGACTCTGCCTTTGATTCAGCTTCTTACCAAGACACCAGCGATGTCTCAGTTACTTGGGTCTTGTGCACCTACCTGGGAGTTCTGAGTTGAACTATCAGCTCTTGGCTTCAGACAGTCTGGCCCAGCCTAGCCTATTGTAGGCATTTGGAGAATGAACCAATAGATGAAAGATTCTCTATCTCTCTCTTTCTCAATGTACTTACAAAATGTAGATGTTGAAATAAAAATAAAAATTAAAAAAAATCCTTTTCAACAAGGAGCAAATTTTGATAATGGATTCATATGAATAGCAATGCTTTTACAAACTTAATATTTAAAATTTTACTGTTCAAAATGAATGCCACTCTGGTTATCTTTTTTATTTTTATTATAATACTTAGAACTACAAATTTCTTATCAACACTTTTATTCACTAACACTCCAAAAAAGACATTTGATCTCTATTGTGCTGACTGGCTTTGTTAGCAGAATAAAAAAACACCAACATTTAACTATGATTATATTTTTTTCATCTACACTATCAGAACAATTAAAGTTAGAAATAAAAATTCAATGAGATTTGACTTTTAATTTTGTTGGGGTAGCTTTAAAAGAAATGCTTCTCTTCTAAATCTACTTGATAGTTATTGTTCTTTCCTGAGGTTTTATTGAAAAATCCTGTAAGTATGTTATGTAGGAGTTACTACTCCCATCAATTATTTTCTTAAGAAATCCAGACATAAACTCTTGTTTCTGGAATACTCAGATACTCAGCTGGATGAAGATGACTGAAAAGTATAAGTAGACTGAGTCATGAGATTCAGATATCAAATCATACTTGATGTCTGTAGTTCTATCACTTTGGAAAAACTTAGAAATACATTTCCATGTCCTGGGGAAAATGATTTTTAGAAAAATTAGAACAAAAGCAGGCTAAATTAACAATTTGTCAACAAATGAATAGTGTATTGATTCAGTTTATGTTGACTAAGTTCAAAAGTTAAGGAATGCATGTTTCTAAAATCAAAGCCAATTTGTTATTTATCCAATTTTCTGTCCTTTCAAATATCTAGGTTTAATTACCATTTCAAAAATATTCTCTCTAGATGATTATCTCTTTTTGACATATATTTAATAAGATTAATTTTATTAGCCAGTGATATTGAACAAAGCTAGTCTGAAATATTCTGCCCAAATGGTTTTTGCTACAGCAATTACAATGACAAATTGTTTGCATAACAACTTTTGTGACACTGAAGAAAAAAAAATTGATTTGCCCCAAGTAAGAAAGAAGAGAGTATGAGATTTAGTCAAAACTTCATTAAAAATGATTTGATCTTTATAATATGATTTCCACTTTTCACCTACAATTATGAACTATTATTGAAACTTTGAAAGTCCTTTTAAAATGATTGGCATGTCAATAAATGCAAACATGGAAAACTACAAATAAATCTTAATAAAAGGTTGAAGAAAGACATTAGACAATGTGAACACATATGAACTGGTTACGAGAAGACACAATACCTTAAACTCAAGCCTGAGAAGCTTCAAGTCAGGTAGATGATCAAGGTGATGCTTAATGTCTTTGCTCCATGACTATTTAAACCCAGTGATCAGTAAAATGCTAATTTAGTGGTTTTACTTCAACCAATAGGATTCTTTAAATTCTAACAATTTTCCCAAATAGGAAATGAATTTTCTACCCAATTCGACTTCCAGGAAATTCTGAGGAGAGTTTTCAACAAGGGAGTGATTCATGCTATGAGAACAGATTGTACAGGATATGAATTCGCATTAACACAAATTGAAAGGCAAACATTTTCAAATTTATTCTTAGAGGAAAAATTTTATGTTGTAGAATTAAAATTATAATATTTAATAAAATGTTATTTTGAAAACATCTTTTTGAAACAATTTTCTAAAAAGAAAATCCTGGAGACAAAATAGGATCATGAAAATCTCAAATATTATGAAGTAGGCCATTACTTTACCTCTTAAAATAATAATTGTTCAAAATTATATTTTTTAATTGTTTACTTTTTGGGATGTCTCTGGCACAATGGCTCAGTAGCTAAAGCTTTGCCTCCCATGCACCAGGATCCCATATGGGCACCGGTTTGTATCCTGGCTACTTTACTTCCCATTCAGCACCTTGCTTGTGGCCTGGGAAAGCAGTAGAGGGCGGCCCAAAGCCTTGGGACCCTGCATCCTCGTGGGAGACCTGGGAGAAGCTCCTGGCTCCTGGTTTTGAATAGCCTCAGTTCTGGCTGTTTTGCCCACTAGGGGAGTGAAGTAGCAGAAGTAAGATCTTTCTTTCTAAATCTCCTATCTGTAAATCTTCTCTTCCAATAAAAATACATGTCTTTACATTGTGGAATAATTTATAATGTGTGTACTATGACGTTTTTACTAAGAAAGAATTGTAACTGTCCTATAAATGTTGGTAATATTACAGATTACACCGGATGAAGTTTTGTTTTCCTAATCTCAGACATACTATTTTAGTAGTATTTTTTTTTTAGTTTTTATTGCACTGTTGCCATAGTTATTCATGAACTAAAATTTTGCTCAAAATTGCAATTTTAAGATTTTTAAAAATTAATCATACCTTTGATTTTCTACTTTGTAAAGAAAAAAGTGGTATTAATAAGAATTAATCCTTCTGCTCCTTGAAATAGTTAGCCATGTACTTTGCAGAAAAATACATTCAAAGGAAAAGATCCATATAAAGTTTTTTATATTAATTTTTTAATTTTGTTTTATGACACAGTTTCATAAGCTCTGGGATTCCCACAATTCCTCCCCATGCCTTCCCCCAATGTTGGATTCCTCTACATTGTTGCAGTAGTACAATTCATATTTAGTCATGACTTCTTCATGCATAGCGTCCAGCCTCTTGTTGTCCAGATAAGTTCAACGGTTTCCTTGGGAGACTATTCCTGGTCTGAAAGTAGAGCTTGCAGAACATTATCCCCTCCAATGAAAAGCCGCAACATAACATCAACAACGATTTACAACATTATGGAATTAATTGACATGGTATTGAGTGACGAATATATTAGAAAATACAAGTCCTTAACCACATCCTGTAACTACTTCATTGACATTTTGATTTTAGTTTATACACAACCAACTGCTATAAAGTTTTGAAAAATTATTTTTGGAGGGTTTCAGGCAGTGGCACTGGCTGGGGTTGGGGACTGGCTATGGTGGCAGCATTCCATTAGGGCTCTGGTTCATGTCCAGCTACTCTCAGATCCAGCTCCCTGCCAAATGCCAAAGTATATTCATTCCAAAGCAGGATGCCAGCATCCAAGTTGGTTCCTAGCCAACCTTAACATGAAGGTCAATTTCAACCTCCCAGTGTAATTAAGCCATACATAGGTTGAACAAACAAATTGATAATCCAATATTGAACATTGCAGATTAGAGTGAGCTTTTGCTCATTAAAATAAAGCTATAAACATAAATCAGGATCACTCTAGGAAATGGTGACTTTAATTGTATTACATAGTGCTTTAGAAAACCCAAAACAACCTCACAAGAGAGGGAAGTGTAATAGTTCAAGTAAGGAAAAGCTAAGTGGAAAGTTTCCTTAGTTCAATGCTTTCAAAGTGTTTAAAAAATTATTTTTTTCCTGAATTCATACCATTAGAAATTCATTAGTAGAAGCATGAAAGCAGAAGTACATGAAAATTATTCCCTTTATATTCATAAATAATATGATTAGAAAACATTAGTAAATTGACAAATTTTGGAGAAAATATATTGTCAAGAAATAAATTTTACGTTGTAAAGTTCTGTGTATTGTATATCCTGCCCAAGCCAAGACTGTTTTATTTTTAGGCAGCAGTCAATAACACAGAGAATGAAGTGTCAAATGTAGTTTGTCAAAGTTCTTCCAGGACATTTGGTAAAGGGCTCATGAGTTTTCTAAGAAAATATCTTTCCATTATACAATGAATAGCTAACATTGAAGAAGGAAGCTTACTGAGAAATGTGGAAGATATTTTTCTTGAGAAATTCACATTTTCCTTGAACCTATGAAAGAGTTCACAATAGGTACTTAATAACTGCTCTTCACTATCATACAAATTGGCCCTCAGAAAATAAGAGTTCTTTTCAGGTGATTTTGTTTCAAGCACAATGGTTACACATAAGGCAAATATTTATATTTTATTTTGGATTTAATGTTTAGAAAATTTCTTGGTGCTATACTAAGAGCTTTCTGGACCTATGGAATAAACTATTATGGAATTAGTAGATTTCAATGCAAGGCATAGGTTTATCCTTAACTCAGACAATAGTGTTTTAATGACATTACCATTAAAAATACTAAACTGATGAAAACTGTAGATAAATGTAATGTGTATAACAAGGACAAAAGTGTTGAATGCTGGACCACATTTTTTTTGGTAAAACTTTCACCTGCATTAACATTGTTTAAGATAAAATAATTATGGGGTCAACAAGATAGCTCAACTGGCTGTGCCAGTTGGAAGATATTCACCTTCCTGTGCCAATATCCCATATGGACACCAGTTCATGTCATAGCTGCTCCACTTCCCATCCAGCTCTCTGTTTGTGGCCAAGGAAAGCACTGGGAGCATGGCCCAAAGTCTTGCGACCCTGTGTCCATATGGGAGACCGCAAGTTTCTCTTGTCTCCTGGCTTAGGACTGGCTTACTCCAGAGTTGTGGCCATTGAAGTAGTGAACTAGTGGCTGAAAGATCTCACTCTCTGTCTCTCTTACTATTTTTGTAATCTGCCTTTCCAATAAAATTAAAAAATGTTTTTCTTTGCCCAGTCTTGGGCTTTTCTTATAAGTAGGAAGTTAGAACTCTTGTGATTATGATGGTTAGGAGACAGGGAAAATGGATCTGATATAGTACCAAAGATTTCATAGAAGCACATGAAAATCATGAATTTTTATCAAATAGAAATTATTTTAGGATTTAATTTCTAAGCAGATGATTTAGGAAGTGAATTACAGAAGAAATCCAGAGTACAGAAAGCATACGATGGAATAAGGTGGTTGGGAATTTGAAGTGAATGTTATTTGGGTAAGATCAGAAAGGAAACATTGACGTTCATGAGTAGAGGCTTACTGATGGGGGAAGTACTGAGGACAAGTTCATGGAGACAAGAAATGAAAGTTCTTGAAATAGTTCGATCGGGAAAACAAATTTATAACGAATACATTTGGTATTATTGAATCTTTAAAATGCTTTTTAAAAATTTCCATCAGCTTGAAAGGCTGAGCAGAGAGTGAGAAGTAGACAGAAAAAAGTCCTTACATCTGCTGGATGTCTCCCCAGAAGCTTACAACATCCAGCGCTAGACCAGGCTGAAGCTTAGAGCCTGAAACTCCGTCCAGGTCTTTCACTTGGGTGTCTGGGCTGCAGCATTTCAACAATTATTTAAAGGATTAAGAAGGTGTAAAAGAAAATGTATTTTTCTCAGTGTGAAATGACAAGGCAGAGTCTTGAAAGGTTATTAGAAGGCTGGAAATCCAAGAAATAGGTTGGGGACTTTGCATGCTTATGGAAAGCATGTTAATGACAGTGATTTGCTGTGACATGTCAGGGTGCCAATCAGGCATGTAAGGCCTGACAGAGTTGGAAAGAAAAGAAGGAATCAGAAGAGGGAAGACCTTGCAGTGCAAAAAGGTGTCTGGGCTTGACCTTAAGAATTTTAAATGTTGCTTTCCTGTGAAGAAGCAGAGGACTCAATGGTTGGCACACTCTTTCCCTGGACCCTGACCTGAGTCTCTGTAATGCTCTTCATCTCGGTTTTCACCCAACTCATTCCTGGATGTCATAACTTCCTCTTGTTTCATTCAGATTATTGTGGTCACAGGTTGTTCTGTCTTCTCAGAACCTTCCTCATCATCTGCCTGGAAGCTCTGTAATGAGGATGTGGGAATTAGGTCCCCCGCAAGTCAAGTGGCATGATTCTGGCCTGGTTACCCTTGTTCCAGATACTTATGAACAAAAAAGGCATTCATCACAATGCGTTGCTTATTGCAGTGTCAATCCTCTAGTACATTTAAAGCTCCCCACAATGGCAAAAGGTAGCATTTATTGAACATTTATAATGAACCATGCACTTAATTTTATTAATAAATGATAACTTTATTAGTAAAGTTAGACTTTCAGAAATGTTCCCATAAAATCCCAAGGAAGCAAAAACTACTATTGTTTCAATTTTAAACACAAGGAAGCTAAGCTTTAAGGTAGTTAAATGTCTTCCTCAGATTCATATACAAGTAACTATGTTGAGACTATGCTCAACAGCTTTTAAACACTTTGCTTCAGTTTCTAAATTATATCCCCCTCCTCCAAACTTTCCTGTGCCCTGATTAAAGAGTAATGCACTGAGGAGTGTATAATAAGTGGTTTTATGTTTCAAAGGATGATTGATCAGAGGTTCTTGTCTTTATACAGCAAAAAATTCAGATGTGAGGCAGACAACAGTAGTAAGTGGGCAGCAAAGGTTAGTGAACAGAGAATAGCTGACAGGCCAAGTAGACACCTCAGGGAAGGACTGAGGGAACATTCTACATTCAG